TTTTTTTTTTTTTTTTTTTAAGGAATGCAAGAAGATAATACATATAGCTTTAAAAACTGGAATTGTTCCTTGTGAAAATGTAATTTCTGATGCATAAACTGGCCTAGAAAATATATATGTTTAATTAATAATATTAGTAGTTCCAATCACTTTATGAGGGGAAATCTGGAAAAAAATATAAATAAACCAAAATGGATAGATATGGAATTTTGGAGTTGGAAGGAACCCAAGGGGCAATTTAGTCCTCACATTTTACAGATGAGAAAACTGAAGCAGGTAGTTAATATATCGAAACTATCATTCAGTTCTGGCTTTCAATCAGGTGTTCCTTCTACTACAATACACAACACACTTACATTATGGCTAAGATCCAAACAATCCCTTCTCTGGTTTCCTAATATTTAAAAATGACAATCACATTCCTCACTTACTTATTCTACAGTGATCAAGATATCAAATTTACTCCAGTGTTGTATGAAAAGAGAGAATATTAACACTCCCCTTGACAAGGATGGAAGAGGCCCTCGGGCCTGACAACACGCATATGGTTAAGGCATTGCCACCTCCTTCGAGGCATCTAACCACCGTTTATTTTATAAAGACATGGATGGACCTAGAGGTTATTATGCTGAATGAAATAATTCAGACAGAAAGAGAAATATCATGTGATTTCACTTATATGAGTAATCTAAGAAACAAAAAGAACAAACAAAAACAGACTCACAGAAACAGAGAACTGGAGATTGCCAGAGGGGAGGGTTTGGGTGTTGGGAGAAAAAGGTGAAGGGATGAAAAAGTACAAATTAGTAGTTACAGAACAGTCACGGGGATGTAGAGTAGAGCATAGGAAATATAGTCAATAGTACTGTAATGTGTAGAGCCAGATGGGTCATAAAGTAATTGGGGGATCATTTCATAAACTAGATAAATATCTAATCAATGTACTGTATACGTGTAACTAATAAAAAAATCTAATGAATAAACAAACAGAAAAAAAAATTTACTCCATAATATACCCTACAGATTAGCTAATGTTCTTGAGACAATTAGGTTTTATCATTAGCAGATATTAAACATAAGCAATTCATTTTGTCTTAAAATGTTTTCTACTTCAAAATGCAGTTTAAAAGCTTCAGGTCTCTATAAGCCACATGTTGACAAGCTTTGGGTTTTTGTTTTAAAATTTAAAAGTTTTAATTATAAATGTAAGATTTAGTAGTCAAGGATTAATTCGTTCCCCTAAATTAAATAAGGCCAGTTACTCTGAAACTGCTCTAATACAGCTGCTACTAGCCACATGTGGCTGTTAAACACTTTTAAAACATGGGTAGCCCAAATTCAGATGGGTTGTAAGTATAAAATACACCCCAAATTTTGAAGACTTAGAATGAAAAAACAGAATGTAAAATATCTCACTATTTTTTAATATTGATTAGATGGTGAAATATTTTAAATATGCCAAGTTAAATAAATTATATTACTAAATTAATTTTATCAGTCTTTTTTCTTTTTGTTTTCTTACTATGACTACTAGAAATTTTAAAATTTCATATGTGGCTTTTATTATATTTCTAATGGACAGCTCCAAGTCATCAATAATAAATATCTAGATGCTACTGATAAGAAATTTGTATATTCTCTGAAAATTAGTTAACATAAAAATTGCCTACATAATCACTAGTCAATGTCTGTGCTAAAACATAAATTATGTGTAAAAATACGCTATATGCAGAAAGTAACTTAGTTGGTTTTTAAATATGCATTTTTCCTCAGTATATTTACATTTCTAGTTTTGGTTAATACCAAAATTAGTTTGTATTCCCCAAACACATATGAACTGATAAGAGAAGAATGTGGCCCAGAATCATTGCAGAAACAAAAAAAAAGTCTGCCATTGTCTTATTCAATCCACATATGTATGTGTTAACTTATAAACAAATACTGACATATAACACCATAAGATACTCTGTAAATACAGACTAGGCTATAACTTAAAGATTTCAGCAATTTAACATGAATGCAACAAAACAAAACTCATTTACAATTTATACCTTTGCTCCATCTGAAATATTGTCCCAGTTTCCACCACTCAAAGAGAACTTTCCATTGCCTATACGCAGCAGTATCTCTTCAGGAGTATCATTGGGGCCATTAGCAAACGGAGTATAGCTATTAATAAAACAGATTTTAATAGACATGAGGGCCTAACATACCTATTACATCTAACTGAAGTGATGAGTATAAGACTATATGCAAATATACTACAGCAAATTAAGGATATCATCCAATATTTCCCTTCCTTGTTCATATCAAATTTGATACTTCAAACAATAAACTTAATTCTAATAAATTATTCAGTAAAAAAACTATATATTTTTTTGCCTTTCATCAGTTAAATAATGTAAATAAAATGTGACTTTTCACTTAAAGCTAGTCTTAAAATCAGATCAGAATAAATCACACGAATTTTGTACTCTCCTAACCATATGCTAGCAAACCAAATATACCTGCTACCAAGAAATTGTTAATTTTATTTATTCATAGAAATGCATTTATTGTATTGGTTTAAATTTGTTCATTAGCATTTCATAAATAATACTAGTGGAAACAAGTTAACAATAATTTTAATTAGTATCTATGAAAAATGGGTCTGTTAAATATTTATATCAATATAACAGAAAATCTCAAGCCATTAAAATTATTACGTGGACCAACATTCATGGACAGGAAGGCAAATGCATTGTATAAAGTTAAAGTAATTTAAAAATTAATTATAGAATGACAAAAAGTGATCAGTTTTGTACCATTTTAACAAATGGAACTGAAAATGGTGTTCAAATTTGGGAATAGAAAGACAGTTAAAAAGTATGAGTAATATGTCTTAATATGTTAATGTCTTAATTTCCTCATGTAACAATTAAGTTGAGATAACACTAAACACACATATACACACACACAATCGTGTTTTCTTTAATCATTAAGTAAATATTTGAAAGCAGCAATCTAGGAATGGTATCCCATTGTTTGAAACCAGGAGTGCTGATTGCAGTTCATATGCAAATTTTAGCTATACTTAACTTTAACACTTGCTGTGGGCTATAACTAAATATTTTGCCAAAGTTTATAATATATCTAAAATTAAGTGGAATACACTGATGTATGTAATTATTACCAAGCCAATAAATACTGTAGTTACCATTTTCATAACTTATAAAGCTTGCTATGTTGAGTATATTTCTATTTCTTTTGTTATTATTAAATTTATTGGTGTGACATTGGTTAATAAAATTATATAGGTTTTGAATGTACAATTCCATAAGAAAGCATTTGTATATTACATTATGTGCTCACCACCCAAAGTTAAATTTCCTTCTGTCACCACATATTTGATCCTCATTACCCTTAACTATCTTCTCCCTACCCGCTTCCCTCTGGTAACCACTAAACTGTTGTCCGTGTCCATGAATCTCCATTTGTCCAGCATATTTCAGTTGTACTAAAGGCTTTCTTTAAAAAGTCACACTTAAGTACATTATAACCTCATAATAATTCTTCAAATTCCATTCTATGCATTAGACTTTGATAAACCTAGCCTTCTTCTACAGTCTTAAATTTTTACTCCTAAATAAAAATATTAAGGGTAAAACGGCACTTGTATTATTTGTAAATTACCAACATTAACATAATCCAATTATTACTTTCTAAAATTATTTCTTTATCTTTTTAGGAAAAGGTACATGTGTTTCTGTAATTTCATATTCTGTTACTATTTAAATTTATCATAAAGCTCAATCTTACTAAATCTCTATTGCCAGGAGAGCCAGAATTCAAGTACTTTAAAAAATTTAATTCAATATCTGGTTCAGTAGGCAAGTACCTATTGAAACACAAAATCATTTTATGCTCAAATAAACATTTTTCAATAAGTAATGCACTCACTGTAAAATATCAAAATAAAAAATATACGCTTTATCTTAGTTTTAGTTCTAATTAAAAACTTTTAATTACGTATCTGAATTTTGATGCACTGAATGCCTTACTTTATTTTTAAATTTTATAAGTAAACAATATATAATATTTTGAAATGTTGACAGCATTTTCCTTAATGTTATTTTCATCTGTCCTCTTTCTAGATGAAAATATTCAGGTGAAATTCAAATAACAATGTGAATTATTTTGAGTATATAAGTTTCTTACCCAGCCAACATCGTGTAAAAAAGGACTCCTAGGCTCCAAATATCACAAGCAGCATCATAGCCCTGTTGCATAAGAACCTGAGAAAGAAATACACATTATATGGTACTACTCAGCATAAACTCAGTTTTCTTATCCGAAAGAAAGTTGTGCTTCTAATAATCTCACAAATGTACACAATTTAAAAACTTGGATTATTTTAATCTTTTGACAAATAAGTTCACTTAATGTTAAAGGGAAAGCCCTCTGCTATTAGCAAGCACAGAATATTTAATAAAGTGATTAAGTAACATGGGTCATACAAAAAAAACAACTTTGTAAGATATTATCCCTGAACTCAATGAGCTTTCACTTCTCTTAGGAAAAACTTACAAATATCAGAATTTAAGATTATTATGTAAAAAGAGCTTAATATATATATACTATACATATTACTGTCTTTTAATCATGACACTGACTCTCTGAGGCAGATATTATTTCCATTTTGAAGATGAGGAAACTAAGGCAAGTGTTAAGTAATTTGCCCAATATCACAAAATGAGTGAGAAGTAGAGCAGATATTCTTACTCTAGAGCCTATGCTTTTAATATGTATGATAACTTCCTTCTTACTACACAAGAGATGATAATATATGATCTTATGAAAGATCGATGAATTTATGTTTTATATACAAGGTTTGTGTCTTGAAAATATTAGTATATTTCTAGATCACAAATACACATTTGATAAATTCTGAATGGTTTCATTAATTTTTCATACAATAATTAAAGTAGCTGTTTTTGCTCTTGGGGCTAGTGTTAATAAAATAAAATAATATATTTATTGTATAGTCATGTCAGTTTTCTTTATGAATAGAGTTTGTTAGAAAAATAAAGAGATGAAATGAAGTTTTTTTATTTTTTCATTTAGAAAAACAAGACCACTGCTAAAGCCTTTAGGCATAAGAACAAAATAGAAACATTATTAATGTATTAACAATGGGGACTGTATAACCACTGACATAGGCATTTCATTTACAAGTTTGGTTTTGACAACTGCCAGACATGAATATTGAGTATCTAAGTTAAAATTCAAGATATCATGTGTTTTTTCCTAGTCAAAGTATATTTATAAGAACACACATATGTGCAAACTTGAAAAGCTGAAGAGGTTATCAAAATACCTATATAACTGGCTTATGTAAGTAACACAAATAGGGACTACAAAGGCCCTAATAAATAACAAGGTACAGTTAAACCACTCACATCATGGTAAAGCTCTAGAAAAACATAAACTTCTCCTGCTTTTTTTCTTCTTTCTCTTTTCTTTTCTCATCACTTCTTACAATTCTGGGGGCATTACCATGTTTTCCCTAGTTTCTGTACGGCAGTATTTTTAAAGCTTCTCAATGTACAGACAAGGTTGAGGGACTGCCCAGAAACTAGTTGGACAGGTGAGGGTTGATCAGTGAGTCAGGTATAGGTATTTCATACTTCCTTAACCTTCCTAGTTAATGAGAAAAAAGAACACAAGAGCTGTCATATCGCTTAATCTAATTAGGGCCAACCATGAAAATCTTGTTTTAGATATACCATACACTTAAACCTATTTTGTATGGGTAAAGAAGAAGCAGTGAACTTCTGTTCTAGAGTGGGTCTCAATGCCCTATAATAGTAAGAACACATAGCCATGAAAAAAAACAAGGCAAAGTGGTGAGCTGAATGAAAGAGTACAGTGGAGTATAGTGAGGAAGAGGTGTTTAATACTTTCTTACTTGCATTAAGTTAAATATGTGAAGACAGAAGTCAGAATTAAAGTAATTAATGTCATTATCTTCTCTCCCATTTGGTTTCCCAAACCAGCAAAGACTAACACAGAGATTCTCATTCCCTTTGCTCTAAAGTTCAACTTAATTCATATTTGGAGCAAAACATATGACAACCCAGACTAGAGCAAAGCAGGGCAATTTCACAATTATTTTATCAAGAGCTGCAGGTAAATATCTATCTAATTAATTGATTAATTAATTAACTAATTAATTAGTTATTTTTAGGCAAGGCAACCCTTGGTTGACCTCACAGATTGCAAGGACCTTGTCAGCTTACAATCCCTTATTTTTTATGCCTACAGCACCTGGTCTTCCTGGGTGGTCTCCCATCCAAGTACTAACCAGGCTCAACCCTGCTTAGCTTCTGAGATCAGACGGGATCGGTCTTGTTCAGGGTAGCATGGCCATAGACTCCATCTAATTTATTTTAAGTTCCTTTAATTCAGGATCATTCTTAGATCTCAGCAGGCATCAAATATCGGTTGAATAATATAATGGATTTACTTTTATAAAATAATATTTTGGAGACATATTTTTGCAATATAGGTATAGTAGAAAAGCACGTTTACTATGTCAGCCTCGAGAGGTTGACTGAATTGATTCATATGAAAAATATGAATGAATATTTCTCTATTGTTAAGCTGAAATTGTAATTAGTTTATATCTTAGTAAATATCTCATCACTCTTTATACACTGTGAATAATGAATTTATACTCCCAAAATGCTAGTGTTTACTCAAATATCTGCACAGATACTTGAATATTTGATTCTAGTTTAAAGATACTACATTTCATATACTCTATTACTAATGGAGTATATGAAAAGGTTTGAAATTTTAGAGAGAAATCTTACCCAAACCTTTATATTTCATTCATAACAAGTTACAAATATTCATTGATTGCTAGCAGAAGCTTCATCATTTGATAATAAAACCTTTCAAAGAATTTTGAAAATACAAATACTAGCCAAAAGTAGTTCAAGCACTAGTTACAGAGAAGTGGTGTCCCCGTACCCACCTGAAAAACTTCACTATTACAGCAGCGAGAGTAACTTACTTACTATAATGGAAGTCTGTTAGGATAAAAAGCATCAGTAGACTGTATTCTACTCTGTGGATTTGCATTCATTTAAGAATGTTTATCTAGCCATTAATTTAAAAATGTTTACCTAACCATTAATCTAAACACAGACATACTATGTATTTTCCATTTTAATGTCTGTTTTTGAGATGTTCCTATTGGACACATTTGCCCCTAACATTTTTCCAGGGAGAAGTTTCCATCATACCAAGGAGTCCAGGTCCATAAGATTAAGTCAGTATTAAGAATTTGGGTATTGAGATGGTTATTCTGTATTCTTCTGTCTACTGCACAATCATGTTAGAATATTTATGATGATTATATATCCTATATTTAATAGAAGAGCCCTAATCTCAAATATTCTGTCTTCCTATCCTATAAAACCATTGAAATGTCCGAGAAAGGCTAATTTTTTAATGTCTAAGTTATATCTCTCACACCTAGGGACAGTACAATAATCCCTTCTTGGGTAATGCATGCATTCTAATTTTTAGAGGAAATGTAGTTTCTATATATTTTAGTTTGATAAAAATTTGTACATTTATTATTCTATGAATTTAATTAAAATATAGATAAAAGCACATTCTCTGGATATGTACATAATTTCTTAGAGGGCAAATCTCATCACAAAAACCTTGTAAAGTAGGTGTTATGCTTCTTCCTCAACATCAACATCTTAAAGATTTAATAAATTTTAATATGGGAATTTTTCTTTAGAAAAACATTTTTCTATTTTCTACATTTCTATTTTCATTAGAAATATTATTTCCTTTTCTAATAGCTACAATAAAATACAGATTTATTGATATTTAAATACAAATGGCTCATGTTAATCTGATATGCCATATTATCCTGAAAGGGCTAGTATTTGATATAAAAATAAAATCGGAAAAGATGCACATGAGATAGGAATTCATTCTCAAATTATTTTATTCTTCCTCTCTAACTTAGAGATTTCAATTTCTCAAACCTAAAGATTTTTTTTGTATTTTGATTTGTACTGAATATATGATAATTCATATGACATTATTCATAACATATAAAAACAGTTCCTGACTTACAAACAAAACTTAAAAAGAATCTATGTGACCAATGCCATTCTCGATTCATTCTTTTATCAACCATATTTTCAATCGCTATGGGAGTTTCTACTATCAAAACTCCCATCCTCATGATCAGAACTCGCTATCTGTAGCTTGCTAACTGTGAAATCTTTACCCCTTAACCTCCCCAGTCTCACCATTACTGACTCTTCCCTTTAAGACCTACATATGAGTATTATTTGCCAAGAAAAACTTCATTGCTTATAAAAACCCCTGTGAAGCATTTTCTCCAGGAATTAAGATTCTAAAACAATCAGAGATGGCGCTGCCCTTACATGTTATATATAATGCTAAACAATATAAATTACCTCATGTTCATCACAAATCAAAATATCTGAAAATCCATCTTGGTTTTGTTATTAATAGCTGAGTCTTAAAAATGTCATTTAGGTACATTAAACCTCATTTTCCTCATTTATAATATTTAATATGCTAAAAGTAGAGTTATCTCTACTCTCTCTCCCAGACTTAAAAGGGTATGATTCTGAAACGAGTACATAACCAACAGAATAGAATAGTTTGATTATTACATTAAGGTTGGTTTCAGATGCTGGTTCCTAGTTTGAATATTTATATTAGGGGTTATCAGAGATTCACTTATTTAAAGAGCTTTATAGTTGAGAATGGACAAAATAACTCAGATTTTACCTACCTACCATAACATATACATGTCATCATATACATTGAACTAAAGGAAAAGAGTGAAAGGCAAAAGATTGAAGTTCTAAAGAATACCTCAGGTGCTACAAAGTTTGCAGTGTAGCACGGAGTTAAGAGAAGTCCATTTTCGCCTCGAAGTTGTTTTGCAAACCCAAAATCACAGATCCTAATGCAGTCTGCACTGGCTGATTCATCCATGTATAAAATATTACTAGGTTTAAGATCACGATGAACAATCTTGAACACAAAAGAGAAAAAATAATTACATTTCTAGAGCTAAATAAATGTCTAGAAATATAACATTTAAAGTTAATTTATTTCCAGGAAAAGGAACTTTAATTATACAATTTTGAAAATGATGCTTTCTCCAACCTTGATAGCCTTGAGAGCTTGAAGGATACAGAAGGAATTATCTCTCTCGGATAGATGCTCCAGTTTCTATTCAAGCCACCAATTTTTTTAGCCACTTCCAATCTCAAAAGTATCAAAACTCATTTATCAGATCCACTTCTGGTTATAATGAACTAAGACCCTACTCAATATGCCCCTCTTCACAGTAAGCAACTATAAAACCTGAACATAATACAAAACTCGACTACCTGAAGGTACTGGAGAGTGAACAGAAGCAGACAGACTCTGGTGGAGAGTACACACTTGGTTGAAGGAAGGGATATGGGGAGTTATATGAATGGCTTTTAGGCTAGGGTTAAGTACAGTCCCTATGGCACATAGTGGTGAAGACACATGTGGAAAAGCCCACAGTCTTTCTGGCCTGGAGTACCAGAAAAGAGATGCTGGGAAACCATGAAAGCTGAGTGGAGGGATACTATAAAGGAAAGAGCCAGAATTGACCCCTAAATCAAAAATGTGTAGAAGAGGCTCAAAGTACATCATATAAAGACAAAAGAGGGAAGAGAAGAAGGGGGAAGTAGATAGGGGTAAAATGGGTCAAATATGTGGTGACAGAAGGGTGGTGAACACGTAATGCAATATATACACGACATATTGTTGAATTGTACACTTGAAACTTATTGGATTTTGATGATCAATGTCGCCTCAATAATTTTTAATTAAAAAAAGACAAAAGATACAGAGACCAAAGCTGCTACCCAAAAAGCAGAGTTTTCAGTGAAAACACTGCCAAGAAAATTATCTATTAAAACAACAAACAGAAAAACAATAATAATAATTGGAGAAAAATAACAGAAAAAATCTCCATAACTCAATACTCAAATGTGTAGTATACAATCTAAAATTATCTGATATACAAAGGACCAAGAAAATAGAACACATTTTCAAGAAAAAAAAGAAAATCAATCTGTTCAGATTCCAAGATGAACCACATTGGACCTAACAAACAAGGATTTTTGAAATGGCTATTATTATATGTGATGTGATGGAGGTGCTAGCTAATGCTATGGTGGAAATTATATTGCAGTATATAAATGTATGAAATCAACATGTTGTACACCTTAAACTTATACACTGTTATGTGTTGATTATTTATCTCAATAAGAATATATTATTCAAAATTCACAAGACTAAATATAAATTAAAAAAGTAAAGTACCTATTATAACCATTCAATGAAGTAAACAACATGCTTTCAATGCGTGAAACTCTCAACAACAACAACAAAAAAATAGAAACAATAAATAAGAACCAGATCAAATGTCAGAAATGAAAAATATTCTGAAATTCTCTATATGATGATTTTCCTACTGATAGTATCCATTTCATTTAATCTAGTCCCATCTTTAATCAGCAGTTTACTACACTGAAAACTCTTTAAAGACAAGGACCAAGTCTCACTCCTATCTGAATCTGCAACATCTTTTAGAATGCCGGGGATATAAAAATACTCAATGAATCTCTGTCATTAATTTATTTAATTGATGTAAGAAACTGAATGTTTCCAAAATAATAAACTAAACAAAAGATGCTTATCATTTTCCTCCTCTCAAAAATTCTGGTCATCCTTTAGAGAGCGTTGACAAAGACAATCAAGGAATTAAATTATAATAAAACTACTCCTTTACCATTATAAAATTTATATTTCAAAATATTGAAAAATGTACTCTATTAAACCTCACACAAAACTGAGTACTGGGTTATTTTTCTTAATTAAAAAAAGGGCTCATGTAGAATTTTCACTGTGCCAATTCTAAGCTGTCCATTTTTTTTTTTTTACTGATAATACTTATGTAGGTACATATCCACTATTACAACTGATTCGAACTTAAGTTTTTGAATTATTTGTGCCCTTTTTTCCTTGTATAGCTATATATAATAAAAATTGACCTTTTTAAATAACATTTGCTTTCTTTATGAAGAGACAGCAAGCAAAATAATAGGCCTGCTCTTCCACTACAAATTTTAATATATTAATACTTCAAATGTTTAGAATCCAAATTTCTTACTGTATTTAGAAGAGGGGTTGGCAAGTTTCAAGATATACAGTCCTCTTATTGCCAGAACTTTATATGTTAGGTATCATCTAATTTGAATAATATTCACAACATGTCCTTGAATAATTCTTTTATGTTTCACTTTTAAGTTTGATTAGGTTTAATAATTTCAAAGTCAAGGTTAGATACATTTATATAATCCAAACCACTTTTAAAACTAATATGCTATTAAATCAGGGCCAACAGCAGGGTGAAGATACTTAATAAAGTATTATCCAATTTTCTAAATCTATAACCTTCGCTACATTATGAGTTTTAATAGGATATTCTCTATAAAATATATGTGATAGAAAAAGTAATTCATTTTAGGTGGCACGCCCTATATATAATTTTATGAAGATATAAGTCCCAGAATTGAAGGGAAGAATATATCTACAACTTACTCCTTGACAATGAAGATAGTCAACTGTCTTAGTTATTACAAACAGTACATCACTAGCTTCCCGTTCTGAGAAACACTTTTGTTTGAGAATACGGTCAAGTAGCTCTCCTCCTTTCATCAAATCCGTAACAAGATAAACATATCTACCATCATCATAAACCTAAAAAAGAACATATGTTTAAAATGTTATTAATTATAATTACAATTCTGAAATGGTTAAATTATATTTATTTTGCTTTTCTAGTGAACCTCTAGTGTTAAAAAAAAGACATTATTTCTTTATTGTTAATATAGTACAGGCTATACTGAAGATTAAACTGGCTAAACAACCTCTTACACAGTCCTGTGAGACCATGTTAAACCTATAATTTTATTAACTTTTAAAGTTGTATGTTATACTTCATGAAGGGATATAAATGGGAAAATAAAATTCTGTGCCACTCAAATGGCATCTACCTCATTTTTGACTATATTATAGACACTTCTCTTCCCTATAATAGTAAGCGTCCTTCTGGCAGTAAATATATTATTAGTTTTTCAATATCCTCTCCACAGTCCATTATCTGACATGGTGTCTTAAATATCTGTTGAATTCAAATACTATATCAAGGAGAATAAATAATAAAAATATGTATACTCTTTCACTCAGGGCTTGTGAGATAGATAGGTAGGTAGACAGACAGACAGACAGACAGACAGATGGATGTAAACTACTGTTTAAAGATTACTAATCAAAAGGCATATCATATTATCCAAAACAAACTCATTGACGTGAAGGCTGATTTGTCTGCCTTCTCTAAAGAGAAAAGAGCATTACTTTCTTATATGAAGAGTGAGCATTCAATAACATTTATTAATTTGAGTTATATGTTTATTTTATGAAACTATAGAGTAATATTATTTCACTCGAAAAAAATCCATAATGCAACAGCCAATTTCTGTAGTCAAGAAAGTAAATCTTCTAGAATTTTGCAGATTCCCACTCTCCTATAACTTCTATATTTATAGTACTACAGAATAATAAATGGTGCTAGTTATAATGTTAACTAGTTAATTATCCAGACTATATTCAAGTAATCAGGACACTCTCATTTACCAACCATCATAGTTCCTTTCTTACATTCTGTAAGAAGGGTAGGAATACAGAATAATAGGGGAAAAATAATTGAAGTAGCAAATTTAAGTCTTTAGATTTTTGTTGCATGACAGTAAATATATCATAGACATAAAAAGTTTCAATAAGGAAATAAAGTGCCAAGTCATAACTTCATTAGCTTAGCTTTGAGTTAGCTTATATTTTAAATACCTACATCCTTTAGAGTGATAATGTTGGGGTGTTGTCCATAGCGCATCAAAATTTCAATTTCTTCTGAGGGGTCTCTCTTACTTTTGTCAATGATCTAAGAAATAAGACAAGAACAATCTCATAGACAATTTACTTTTTTGTTTAAAAATGAATGATATATTTTAAATTTGGTTATATTTTTAAGTAAATACTTAAAAACTCAAGAATGATGTTTGTCTCATATTATTTTAACATTTAAAAATTTCCTATAACTGAAACTTAGCAATAAAAGATCACTTCCTTTAACATCATGTTCCACTTAACTGAAAATGTACTGATAATTTGATCCAAATGTAAAAGTAATTGTCACAGTTGCTCAGTCTTAACATACTACCTTAAAATAAAACTATTCAAAAGCAAGACATTCATGAAATACACTGTTTCTCCAGAAAAAGTCTTGGAAAGAAATTCAAAATGAAAATATTACATCTTAAGAGTTCGTCCTTATTATAATCTCTGTAATCTCCACTAGCTCCACTGAGAAATGTCTATCAGTTAACTTCTCATTTAACTTACATATATAAAACAAAAAATGTTAGGCTCAGGGACAATACCTTCACTGCTAATTCCATGTTGGTAGCTGTATGTATGCATCGCTTACAAACAGAATAGGAGCCAACACCAATGTCCTCTTTCAATTCATATGCTTCACCAAATTGTGCAGCATTTCCATTTATCTGTTTTTGAAAAAATAAAATACTAAGAGGAATGAAATATTTTTTGCATTTTTATCTTTTCTCCTAAATATACATTCATCTTACATTTAAAATTCATTCTAGAAAAGTTTTATCAGTATTTATAAATGGCTTAAGCAGATCTAAGCTGATCCTAAACTGTAGGCTTTCTAGATCCTTAAAGCCAACACAATAAATCAACTAGCTTATACTTCATCATTACATTTTCTTGCCAAAAGAAATTATATCAATATAATTAAAGGTTACTACCATCTGGTTTATTTCAAAACATATGAAAACATCATTAATTCATTATTATACACAGAGATAAATAAAGAAGTTAAAATCACTTAAAATTATTGTAAATCCATTAGAAATAACTGAAAGAAATAATTATCTCTAAACTAAATAATCTGATTAAGTGGAATTTACCTGGATAATTGGTAATACATTTGAACCTGTGATAGGAGTGATTTTATATTCTTCTGCAATCGAAGTTGCAACAAAGCTGAATCCTTTGAAGAGTTGATGAGCATTAGCACTGGCCGGCAAACCAGGAGAATCTAATGTTCAAATAATTATATTTAGTTAGAAGTACACAGACTTCTATGATATAAAATCATCATTTTTTTTAATAAAAAGGAAACCATTAAATGTTAACATCAGACATACTATATTATATATTTGAGTAATTGTATATTATCCGTCTCCCCACACTACTATGCAAGCTTCATGTGGATTGTAATTTTTGTCTGTTCTGTTCATTTCTGTACCTTCACTGCTCAGTACATTATAAGTATTCAATATCTGAATGAACGTAGGAAACATGCCACTAAAAGTAAACCTCATTAAATTCTAAACTGTAAGAGTCCGAGTGATGTATCTCATGTCTTATTTCCTACCCACTACTCCCTAATGCATTAGCATGTCAAAGGACTTTTAAGATAAAACAGCCCCCCAAAAAACTTTCACCCTTTGTTGTAGTCCCTGCTTTTCTGATAAATATTTCCCATTTAAAGTCTCTACTTGAAAGGTGCCCAAGTAATGCTGTATATAGGATCCATACTTCCATAGAGGGCAAACTAACCCTCTGGAAACTTATAATTCTTTTAGTTTTTACTAGGAAGCTAGTTTATTTTTTAACCATCTAACTGAAGAAAAACCTTGATGTTATACATAAGCATGCATTACCTTTAGGTGTTTTTGCAGTAAATTCAGGATCAAAACAAAAAGTATCATCTGGTTTTCCAGAAGCAGGTTTGAAAGGAGGTTGAACTTCTTTTTTATATAATTTCTAGAAGAAGCAATAGGATAATACAAAAACATATTAGCAGAAGATAATATTCACAGTACTTAACAGAAGAATCACAATTTCATAAATGTAACTTCAACAAGCCTCAGATAACTTGTTAACCAAATTCTAAAAATCTGAGAGATAATGTACAAAAAGTGACACCAGGAAACAACAGTGATGCCACAGGTTGTATTCACAAGGAATAATGATGTTAGTTTTGGATATCAAAAACTGGCTTGAATTTTCACTGGTAAAATAACCATATAGAATATGTTGCAATGTTACCATGGAGAAATAACTAACAACACTCAGGGATTTAAAAAGTAATAATTAGACTATCTTCGCTAACTATATATTTCACTTGAAAATATGCATCAAAGGCACTGTGTAGGGCTCTTATTGCAGAATTCAAAAATGTAATCTTCCTTACTATAACTTCCTACAATTTATATGTTTATGAAAGACAAATAAAACATCAATTGAGTGACTTCTTAGGGTATTAACACCACTGGCTTACAAAAAATAAATCAAAATGTTGCCAGAATAACGATTTGATTAGTGAATGGTGACTTTCTATCTCTGCCCTAGAAATCCAGAGACTTTTACTTTAGAAAAAATTTTAAATGCCAAAATCAGAACTAGATAATTGGAAATGCTTACCCATGATGATTAATAGTACATAAAATACATAAAGCTGTTTTGTAAAATGAACAACAAAAAGTTAGTTTTTCTAAGAAAAGCTCATTAGTCTAGGAATTACAACTTAAAAAAAATTCTATACATGACAGAACTTCACAAGTTTGTTTCCATGCACTCTCTAAATTTAGTGAAATGCCTGTAAAAAGATATTTACTCCTTAAAATTTTTCATTTGTCCTAATACATGACAAAGAACCATTTGAAATTAAACAACACCTCAGATTCTTTAGAATTCATTTTCTATAAGAATCTGTCATATCATTCATCCCTTTTTCCCTTTCTTCCATATCATACAACCTAGAATAGGGGAGAATATTAACTATACTTAATGAGTCAAACAAATGAGAAACAAAAATTTGCTAAATATCATCCACGCACCTACTGGATTAAGGTATTTTTATTTACAGGTGTAACGTATCATGCCAATTACCTTGAACCAGAAGATATGTGGATGAATTTGCAATAACAGTGATGAATCTTAAGGGTGTTACACAAAGTGACATAAGTCAGATGGAAAAGGACAAAAACCGTTATGATTTCACTCCCATGTGGAATATAAAACAAAAAAGAAACAAATGAACAAACAAAACAACAAACTCATAGATACAGATAACAGACTGGTGGTTACCAGAGGGTAAGGGGAATAGGGGTTGGGTAAAATGGGTAAAGGGGGTCAATTATATGGTGACGGAAACTAGACTTTCGATGGCGAGCATACTATAGTGTATACAGATATTGAATTATAATGTCGCACACCTGAAACTTCTATGTTATAAACCAATGTTACCTCAATAAAAAATTCTCAAATTAAATATAAAATAAATGGATTGTTTATCAACAAAGTCCATATACTATCATATACTCTTCAGCTTTTGTTCATATTAAAGTTACTCAGAACAAACTTTCTACTGAACTTACATTCCAGTCAATATTTGCAAAAAAAAGATGTCCTTTGATTTCCTCAACTCCTTCTGAACCTATAAAAATGGAAAGACTTTTTTACTGGTATGATTTTTTTAAATCTTTATACCTCGCTTTCAGACTGTTACTTATAAAGAGGAGTACACACATTTCATAGACTCCTTGCAGTGAGAAGTTTGTGATTTCTCATCTAATATTTTATTAATTGGTTCTTTAAATTTAATATGATAAACATTGAGTGATATTCATATTAAAGCACACAGAATATCATGAAATACTGAAACGCCTTCCAAATCAAGTCAAAATTATATTTATTATAATATTAAAATTTAAGTACATATTCTTTTCTTTATAATTCAACTTATGGCCTTATAGCTACATGCCAAATTAAAAAGTACAACATAGTAAAATGACATTGAAATTTTAACATAAGGACATAAACAGGATGATAGGATTACATTTGGATCCAGGGAAAGGCTACCAGAAAGTGGCTATTAAGGAGACATTATGGAAACATAGTATTTACTTTGAAAAACATTGGGAAGGCAAAATAATTATCTTTGGACATCTATAAGGCTTACCTATACAATTCTGTGAATTATTGCAAAAGAGGTAATCCATATGATGTACATAATAACATATATTAAATAGAAGTACTGAATAACTAGACAACTCCATTGTTTTAATCAAAGACCTAAAAGAATTTATGGGAATCTTTGTATATACAAAATGCAAAGTTCTAGATATAAATATATAGCAGCAATAAAGGAACTTAAGCCAAAAAAACAGTTATAATTATGCTGCTCCCAAAGCACACAGTATATTGTTATAAAAGCTAACAAAATAAACAATACCCAATCTATTTGCTGGATTCCTTTTGAATAACATCCTTAGAAGACTTTGTGCTTCAGCACTAAGAAACTGAGGCATTCCAAGTTTTGCTCTGGAAAAAAGGATTTTAGAAAATTAATTTCAATCTAGCCATACTTCTAAATTTAAAAATCTCAAAAAGAATTTTAAAGAATGCTTTCACAATGGCAAATAATGTCCCCCATTTGGTAGGAGAAGGGAACAAGGCAGTGTGAAAAATGTTCTTTGTGTCAATTTAAACTCATAATAAGTTTCTCAAAACTAAAAGCCAGAAATCTTTTCCAAAAGAAAAAAAAAATAGTGTTCGCACTTACTTTAATATCATATTCATGGTCTCATTTCTGTCTTTACCTTGAAATGGTAGTGTACCAGTAAGCATTTCAAACTAAAACAAATAAAAAGTAACACAATTTAGCACAACTTAGAATACACAATGAAATTCTTTAGGAAAAAAATTGAGATTTGTAATATATGATCATCAAATCATTTGGATCTATGACAGTAGGTCAAAATAGGACCAGAAGACTAGGTCACTTAAGGCAGAGGTTCCTGACCCCTGGGGTGTGGACCAGTACCTGTCTGAGGCCTGTTAGGAACTAGGCTGCACAGTAAAAGGTGAATGGCAGGGGAGTGAGCAAAACTTCATCTGTATTTGCAGCCACTCCCCAGTGCTAGCATCACTGCCTCAGTTCTACCAGATCATCAGGCATTAGATCTCACAGGAGCACCAGTCCCTGGTACCAAAATGGTTGAGGACTGCTGACTTAATGAATATACTTCTGGTACCCCACTATATACAGCTGATAGGTGACCTGTAGCAAATGAAACCAACCAATTTTTTCAGTCCTGTCAAATTTGGTTGAATTACTCAAACTAAAGTAATTTAGAAATAGGTATAAATCATTTTCTTTTAAAACAAAGGTATGCTTTTAAACCAATTTAATCATAAAAGGAAGTAAAAATAAGCTCAGAATCATTTCAAATTCATATATGATCAAGAAAGATTTAACTATTCTCATTCCCCTCATTCCCCTAAAATCATGAACCAAAAAAAAGCAACACACACATATACCAATATCTTTTTTTTTACTGTGTCGTTTCACTTATATATGGAATTTAGTAACCTTAAAAAGAAAATAAATGAGATAGTTGTACTCATCATAAGGAAAATATTTTCCTTAAGAGATTTAACTGCAATGAACAAAACTAGAAGATTAATTGATGGTATTAAAAAATAAGTCTAAAAATAAACCATTATAGTTCAATAAAAAGTCTTTATATCCCTAATATTTAAAACAAACTGAGATTCAATAATGGCTTTGGTCTCAGTCGTCTTGCTCATTTATCTGAACTCACAATCTTAGGTAGCTAATCCATTCAACTCTCTCCTATACCTTGAAGACTCTCAATCTGATCCAAGGATCTCTCTCAAGCCTGTTTTCCCTCCCAAATCTACAGTAATAGTTCTCAACTGGAGACTGGGAGAGTAGAGGTGGGAACGTCAAGGACAAAAAGTAAAAGAATAGTATATTGGAATAACACCTCTCCTACAAATAAACTATATATTCTTTGGCTAAGTTTTTTTTTAATTAATTAATTTATTTTAATTAGTTTCAGGTATACAGTACATTGGTTAGACATTTATATAGTTATAAAACGATCCCCCTAATTGCTCCTTCTCTCCTTGGTTTTCTACCTTGCCAATATATTAATGCTAACTACATTCCCTATGTCGTGCTCGCCATCTCCGTGACCATCTATCAACTACTAATTTCTACTTTTTTAACCCTTCACCTATTCTCCTAGACCCCCAAACCCCTTTCCCCTCTGTCACCAAATTGTCCACTATATACATGAGTCTGTTTTTGATTAGTTTCTTTTTTGTTCCTTAGATTCCGCATATAAGTGAAATCAAATGGTATTTACTTTTCTCTGTCTGACTTATTTCACTCAGTATAATAACCTCTAGGTCCATCTATCCATCTATGTCGTTGCAAATGGTAGGATTTCATTTTTTTAATGACTGAGTAATATTCCATTGTATATATGAACCGTAATTTCTTTCTCCCATCGTCTGTTGAT